TAAATTTTGTCACTCCACATCTCCTGGGTGGCTTCTATGGACTCTTTCAACCAGTCTCGATATGCGGTTGTCTTCCAAATCAGAACTAGACTCGTCTTCATCAGATAATTCGTCATCTTCCACCTCCGTTTCGGATTCCGAATCATCGTCCTCAAGATCTTCGTCTTCATCATACGTAGATTCAGTTTCATAGTTTTCCATATTAGGATCTTCAAATCTACGGCTTTGCCAATCAGGTTCAGAATGATCCTCCTCAACTTCATCTGTTTCAGAATCATCTACAGCATGTACATTTTCTGCATGCCTCTGTAGGTTATATCTCCGTCCGAAGCTTTTGTCACACATGTGACAAGCATAAGGTTTGACTGCAGAAATAACATTCATGTTGCAGTTTTGAAGGTTAAGCTCCGAATGGTAAGAAACGGATAAAAACGTTTAATTAAATAACTACTTATGAGTCACTGCTCATCTGCTCAATTCATTGCTCATTTACTCGTGAGTAACTGCTTTCTGCTCATCTTCTCAATTCATTGCTCATTTACTCGTGAGTCACTGCTCATCTACTCATGAGTCACTGCTCATCTACTCAGTTTCATTGCTCATTTACTCGTGAGTCATTGCTCATCTACTCATGAGTAAAATGAGCAGCGAAATTTTTACTTTGAATTTTTACTTACTTTGATGTACAGAAAAAAAATGTTCTCACGACAAAAAGTAGTAGCGCGCAGTTCCGACCCGACGCAATCGCGATGTGCCGACGACCGGCACGCGAGCGGGGAAACACGGGACACTCTGCACTGTCATGACTGTGTCGGCCAATGCATTTAAGTTTCTGTGCCCCTCAAAAGCTCCCTTTTATGACTCTTTTCTTATCGGACAAATATGTGGCTTTTATAATGGTTTAATTGTTACTTCTGTCAGCGAACGATGTGTGACTTTTACAGACAATTTCATGATTGTTTATTTATATTCTGTTCACGAAAATGTGAAAAAAATAAACATGTACACATGTACATATTTGTCCTAGTCAGCTAGTACTGTAGTAGGCTTAGCTAGCTAGCCTACTTCATTGTTTTACTCATGAAAATAATTGCGAAGTCTTATGTGGTTTATTTTTCTCCGTCATCAAACAATAAATATCTCTATCTTACGTTTCCCTTCTCTTGATAGATGTCATCAAAGAGCATGTAAACACACTCAGATTCCACTCATGCACGGATAAGAAACACTTTCCTCTCTGGACTCAACTGACCCAACGGCAGGATTTCAAAGTAAAATCATCGACTACAGTCTGCAGCAACCACTTTAAATACGGCCAGCCATATCCTGATGAACTTCACCCATCTTTATTTTTGAGAGGATACGACCTTCCTGAGACACTGAAAAGAGCACCGGTGAAGAGTCGAGCATTGGATCTCACTACACCACTGCCGGCCATCTGAGAAAATCAAAACCTTACTGTACCTTTTCTTAAGTTTTTAGCTGTTTCGGTGTACACACCGAAACAGCTCTTGTTTTCGTTAAGATTTTGGGCTTTTTCGCAAATTTGCGAAAAAGCTTTGTTTTTGTTCTCATTTTTTTTTTTTGGCTTTTCCGCAAAGTTGCGGAAAAGCCTTTCTTCTTGTTCCACTTCAAATGCCATTGACTTTGTGCATGTTTTTCCTCAGTGCCACTTTTGGCATTAATTTTTGCCATATATCATTCAAACTTAGCATAAGCATAGTCCCTATAGCAAAGATGTGTCCCGAAGATTGACGTCATGGTGACGTCATCGACTAATTTATTGTAGATTTTTGAATATTTAATTTTTACCATAGACTTTGTACACAGAAATTAAAAAGAAATTGTCGATTTTCAAAGGGCATTTTCGACTCTTTGCCAGTAATTCATTTACACCAATCTTTGTCCAAGGAAAGACCCTAACTCAAACAACATTGTGTAATGATGACGTCATGATGACGTCATCCGGTGCTTATTAATGGGCAATTAAATTGTGACACTTTTAATATTTAAAAATACATAAGAAATCAACCGTATGCGTCCGCAGCATTGTGTTGCCGGCAGGTGGTAGAGTAGGTTGAGGTCTTTATTTCATTTAGTGTGCGTGAAATCACGTGACCCTTGCTTCCTGTCGAAAAAGGCCAAAACCGGAAGTGGCTTATTATTTAAAAGTGGTAATAGATATGAACTTGCTTTTAACGGTGTTAGTCTCTTGGCTGAGCGTATTCTTCAATTCATCTACAGATGACGTCATGCAATCTTTGATCGTCCTCTAGCGACAGGTTGAACATTTTCAAAAATGTATTTTGAATAGATGTCTGTGGCGAAAGTTGCTGGAATCGCCTAAAAATTGGTGTATATGATGATCTTGACCCACTTAAGACGTGTGCAAAGTTTTAGGCGTATGACGTCATCAGACCGGAAGTTCCGTTGAAAAGAACTTTCCTTTTTCAAAAATTGCTAACAAGTCAATCCGTACAGATATAATCTTGAATTTCCTATTAAATGATAGGGTAAACATTTGCCTCAACAGTGCCAAGTTCCCAGCTTGTCAAATTGTTCACACAGTTGACGCGACGTCGGCTAAAAATACCCTTGCGCAAGTTGCGGTAGAGAGCTTTAAAACATGCACAGGACTTCCACGATGTGTATATGACATGCACGTACGTTGTACATATATGTACGCACATACATCGTATGTAAGTCAGCCCGGCCGCATGCAGCGCACGTGTTGCCGAGGTCTAATCCTGTCCACAGTGACCGTTTTAGCCGATTTTCGGCTAACTTTGACAGATTTTATGTTCATGCTTCCTTATAATCTGAAATTCATTGAATGTAATTTTTTTTGATTTTTTTTTGATTTTTGAACTTTCAGCATTGTTTTCCAATGAAATACACTTTAAACTTCAAAATGATTTCCACACAATGAAACCACAGCCTGTGGTTAAACCGAGGTGTGCTTAACTTGAAAATGAGAATCTTTAAAGAACCTGCATTGTGAAATGTAAGGACGCCCTCTTGTGGCTGAATAAATTGTCTGCGTAATACATACATGAAGCTGTACATGCAGATATCACCGCCGTTTTTTTTATTTGCGTCGTGTTTGGCTGGAGGTTTTGGGTCCGAAAACTAGAACAGTGTATTCTCAAACTGAACGAGTCCTTAAACTTAACAATAGAGTAAGACGAACGTTGTTTACGCGGTGCGCAAAACTTACGTGGCTTAAAGTTAGCAGACCAGTAAATAAACTTTTATAGACCCCAATGGTAAATGCTCACACTTCAGAAATTCGGAAAATACTCACTCTCCAAGTGTTCAAGACACACATCAAATTAAAGCGTATTTCATCATCTTTTATTTTCTTTTCAATTTTTTTGGGGTTAAATGACGAGTTTTAAAAGATGCTATGAAACATCATACACAATTTTTTTTTTATGAAACAACGCAGATTATAAAATGGCGATGGACTTTAATGGGTTAAAATGTGATATAACCATATCCTATCTGTGATTAAAAAACACAACACATTTTTATTTGTATAATTTTTTTATTTGTATGAAAGCATTTTCTTTAATATAAAACAATAGTATTCTACCAAACAAAATAGCAAAAATGTTTCCTCAAAATTCCATAAATTATTGTTCCCTGAAATCCTTGAAAATGTCATGTTTTGCATTGTTTACGATATCCTGCTTGAAACATCCGGTTGATGTGCGCAGAGGGTGAAACGTTTACAGCTGGAATCTCAACCAGCACTGAACACACATATTTTGGGGTTGCAAAAGTGCCCCCCCCCCCAGGTGATTTTCAATGGATGTTTGTGTAGTTGTTTATATCCCAAGCACTTTACACCATTCGACTCAAAATGCATTTTGTAGCCCAATTGCGCATTTGCCAGGCTGCAGTGTCTCTTTAATGAGTTTAATCTATAAATGATATTGTAAATAAATACTTAAATTAACATAGACGAAATGACGCAAAAGTAGGCAATTATCTCGGTAGCAATTCACAGCTTAGCCAGTGTCACAGTCTTACTTAGAATGCGCTCACTTCTTCACAAACACAGTGCAGTGAGCACACGCAATAAGGTTGGCGATAATGTACAGCCGCAGCACAATTTTGCACGTGCGTATTGAAGTTAAATGTCCCTTTTGGAGAAGTGCGCACACCTGATAAGTGAGACCATGACACTGGCATACTTGGTGCGAACATGAATCAGCCAATGCTTGATAATATCACATTTTCATAGCAATCAGACAAAGTATGCACCGGTGTAGCGTGAATTTACGTTTCTATGAAATTCGGACTCATTGGTAATACCGCGCATGCGTAAGTATGGTAATTAGGAAAGTGACCGGCACGTGAGAGGGATTAACCAATAATAGGGAAAAGGGGTCCGATTTTCATAGGAGTCGGATTTTCATGTGACACCGGCATTAATATGCTTTCCCCCCCCTACACTCACCCCCTCCCCCAAATTACCAAATATTTATCCACAATTGTATTTTATGTAATTCAATACATTTATGATCACAATCACTTATGTATTGTGCTATGTACAAGGAGAGAGCCCATTTTAACGCCGTACTTTGCACCATTTTTATCATAATAATAGCATAATCATTGCAAACAGTTTTGCATGTACATGTCACAACCACTCTTGCGGGTACTCTCTTTGCCAATAACACCAAAACTTTGAATATCTTGGATAAAAATTAGCATTGAATTGTTTTTCTACCATGTAGAAATGGCATTAAACAGTCCTCGTTGCCCTTTATCTTACTGTTTAAATAAAAAAAATGGTTGGGAAAATGTTTTGACCAACTTTTTCAAGGAACAAGAACAATTGTTTTGCCCTTAAAAACAACTGCTTTCTCGATCTACTCTTGACCGTGCACAAAAAAGGCTTGCTACTAGTATAGAATAACCTCAAGCAAATTCCAGAGGACTGGAATAGCTAGTTGACTATATGAGCTATTGCAAGTCCTCCAAAATAATACGAATGTTCAACAAACCACCGTGACAGGTTTATTATGAGTGTTTCAGAGACTGTCTCTTTGTTCATATGGTGGTTCCTCAAGGTTCAAGAGAATGCTAAATGTGTAGGTTGTAGCAGCATAAGACAACTTGCAATCCAATACTGGCTGAGACTGTAAAAGCACAATAACTCCACATATCTGGAGGTGTGACAGCAGGATGTTGTTGACAGAGTGGGAGCTAGTAGGTGCTGAGAATGTACAAGCACACTATAACTCCAAGTGCCGGTAGCTGGACAGGATGTTGCTGACAGAGTGGGAGCTGGTAGGTGCTGAGAAAGTATAAGCAAATAGTAACTCCGAGTACCAATAGCTGGACATGTGACAGCAGGATGTTGCTGACAGAGTGAGAGCTAGTAGGTGCTGAGAATGTACAAGCACACAGTAACTTCAAGTACCGGTAGCTGGACATGTGACAGCAGGATGTTGCTGACAGAGTGGGAGCTGGTAGGTGCTGAGACTGTAGTGACAGCAGGATGTTGCCGACTTTGGAAGCTGATAGGTTTGCATATGTCTTTCCCTGAATAAAACAAAACATGAAATGCTTGATCATAAACAGCACTCTACACAAATTATGCATGGTAAATTTTTGGCACAACAAATCTTTGCAAACTGCTCAGCAACTATTGGACACGATCACTTCAAGTTGCATTTTACTGAAAGTGTAAATATTATTTCTAGAAATGTATTCAGGTCCTTTTTATGTCAGACTCCACATGCCAAGTGCAATCGTTGTCCAAAGTACAAACATTATAACCTTTTTAAAAATCAGGAAAATACAACATTTGCATACATCACAAAACAAAACTACCAAATTATTATGTAATACCTTACTGGACTGTTGGTAAATGACAGTCTAAAGCATCCTATAAAATCATGTTACCTTGTGTGCCATCATTTTTAAGATAAGTGGTATTTCTGTACAATTTCCAACACTAATTGATCGACCAGCCTTTGGAAAATCTGACTCTTTTCACATACTGTCCCAAATTTACCGTATTTAGTCAGTCCACATTTTCTTTGCAATCAATGATACAACCCATGAATGGCTACAAGCTAGCCTGACTGTCACCATTCAATTTCAGTGGGGTCAGGGAACCAGCTTACAAGGTCATGATTGTTTTTCTTGGTTTTTCCAGCATCTACGAACACAAAACTTAAAAAAAGTCAGTACAACAAAATTACAGAAAAAGCAAACGTTGTATATTCCCTTTAATGACTACATGTACTTGTGTTTTAACACCAAGAATTGCTATTTTCATTTGGCAGGATATTTTTACTTGTGGAAGCTTTTTCACACTGAAGTATAAATTTATACATTTTTTTGCGTAAAAGCTTTTATAACCGTTATTCTTATTCAGGCAGTTTTTAACTTTTACATCCGCAATCATGCAACATTTAATGTGACAATCACAACAGATTGTCAGTTAAATATCTACTCACCTGAACAATACTGTGCATGTATTAGCATGTAGAAAGTGGATGCTGTCACAGTGTGCCTTTGCTAACAGGAAGAACATACGTAGAGATGTGGCAACTGAAGCAACACAGCCATCTTTACAGAGATGATCTACACAGAATTAATTGATTTATTGATTACTTCTTCATCAAATCCTATGCCATAATTGGCAAGTATTTCGAAGTTGTACATATATAAATTTTCAGTAATCAGAGAAATGATCACAAATTTCTAGCTTGAAAATTGCTATTGCAAAGAAATTTTGCCTAGACATGCTAGATGCATAATGCAATTGCACAGTTGTTTTTAATGATACTTATCTTTGGAATGCACACAAATATTTACTACAATGCACGTTCCTGTCTGACATATTAGTCTGGTTGCATGAAATTTATTTCACAAAAGTGCGAGATGATGTGTAACACATCGCAGCTGAGTTAAGCACTTCGCAAAAGTATAGGTGAGGCGACACATTATGTTGATCACAATTAACATCAGAAAGCCCCAAGTCCTTATAGCATGGGAATCAGCGTCTGCACACAAGCCCCAGAGTAGAAATTCTCACCGGGAAGATGATCCAAACCAAACACAATTCAGTTCATTTTATTTTTTTAAGAAAAAAAATTACAAAAAAAATAATAATAATTATGCCAAAATCCAGAACATCAGACAATCTGTCTCACCTGCACATGTTGAATACTGGCATGCTAAGTGATGCTGTCAGAGTGCTCATTGGAAACTGGAAGGAAACATGCTGATTTGTGGTTCATGGCTTCTACAAACAATCAGATAAGAGAATGACATGCATGAGGATCCATCACAAGGGTGTTCCACAAAAAAAAATAAAGTGTGTCCCCCAAAACTCCCTCTGGAAAGATACATAACATGTCTCATAATATATCAAATATCTCACATTCAATGTTATACCAGCTGTTGATGATCACAAGCATACATGTGTATTGTTCTTTCTTGTGTGAAATTTTAGTTCGATTCAGTTCAATGGTTTTGTTTACAACTGACAAAACGATGCTCCTTACATTACAAATATACAATCTAAGTAAAATATTCAACAGTTACACTCACCTGAACCATGCTTGAAGGCTGGATGACGGCACTGTAACGTGGCCAAGCACAGAAACCTGTACAAACGAATCAGAAGTTCAGTCTATTGCAAGTCACATCCATCATATCATCTTTGTTGGTGATGACTGTACACAAGCACTGAGTCAGCTGGAGGTCTGCATGAAAGGCACTTAGGTAGTATGGTAGCTAATACAGCCTATGCTAAACAGTGCTGAAACATCACAGTTTCTCTAACATCTGCTGCTTCTCCAATTATGTGCCAATGCTTGAGGCTGCCTTTGAAGTAGGGGGCCTGGTTGACAAGGCCAATCTCCAGCTAACACAATCATCAGCAGCTTGCCTTCCACACTAGTAGTGGTTGATGCAGCAAGTGATGAGAGATTTTTAAGATGTCTGCATATCTCTTCCACAGTGCTCCTCTGTCAAGATCATAAGTACATAGTTCTGTGTACTGAACAATCTTTAGTAGGTTATGATCCTGAAACGTGGAGACACATCTTTCTCAATTCAACATGCAACATACTAAAGACCTCTACTGCCCCGGATGAAATCAGTCCAGTTTGTGTCCACATTAGTGTAGAAGCAACAGTAATGGAAACACACTAAAGGAGCAGCAGGTATCAAAGGCTGACAACCCAGTATGTATCCGCACCATATAGACAAGACGCAAGACTAGCTTTGGACAGTACATGCTCATGTATTGCTATATTTCTTTATGTTCTTGGTTAAGACAAGTTTGTAAACACTGCCACAAGCAGAGTTTCCTTTGATCAGTTTACTGTCCACATCTCTGTCAAGCATTACCGCTACAAAAGAGCCAAACTGTTCATCTGCATACCAACTCCATTCTGTCAATTGAGATACGCAGGGGTGGCTCTTTTCAAGGCGCATGTGTGAAGAAGTGCAGCACTTCTGTCTTTTTTCAGGCAGAAGTCCATGTGAGGCAGACTTTACTTGGGTCGTTTGCATCTCAATATCCAGTTGAGTTTTTACTAGCTGTTCTACAATGCAATCGATTGCCGAATCTGGAATATTGCAACTGGCACTAATTAAAGAGGGTGTCAAAATACTCCCACGTAAGAACGTACACATGTACAGCTCTCAACTTTTTTTGTCAGCAAACACTGTCTTCCCATCTGTGGGGGACAGAAACCGTAAAATGGTTTGGAAAAATAGAAGCGTCCAAAGCTGCTGGATCCACGTGCCAAATAGGTCACATAGGGAATTACACCTTGACCCCTACTTCGTACGTTGCTTTGATGACCTCTTCCCTCTGGTATGACCTGGGTGGCATCACAGGTCGTGACCTGACCCTGGCAAGGTCAATTGCGCTCAGGACATGTTGTCCCCTCCGGGCGAGAATGATCCGGCAAGATGGTTGTTGTCCTAGGATATTTTAAAGGTTTGAAGAATGGTGGTGTTGATGACCCATAGCATCTCTGAAGTTCAGTCAGCTCGGTTGCTCCATCCACATAAGTTCCAGTTATCTTGTTTGTTGGCTCTCTACGATAAATATTAATGTTAAAGTCATCCAGCGGCATTCCAAAATGTACCTGTCTGACAAACATCTTTCCTCATCTTTCCTCCTTTAGGTATTATTTTGGGTATGCTGATGTAAGAAACATCTTTCAGATTACACTAAGTTATAATCCATCAGGTACCATTATTTCACAGTTCTTTTTGTGACATTTTTCACTTACCATCAATGAACTCACTGCATCTTCTGCTTTATGTACATCTCTTCAGTATAATCGTCAGAGATGAACTTTACCTACAAAAACAAATGCATCATACTTGCATGAGTATTTAAAATTACCTTGGATATTGCACACGATTTCTGTTTGAAAGACAACCTTGACAAAAAACAAATTACCCTAATCATTGAAACTGTAGTAAGTTCAACACAAGTACCTTCATTTCTCTATTTGATCAGTATCAAATTCAAGTTCATGTATTACAATTTGTCATTACCTCAAATTACATCTAAAAATTTAAGACATGTATATAATTCTTGATGCTACAGTTTGGTAAATTGTCACTCTTGCATTTTGCAAGATTTAGCCAGTGATTAACCCTCCATGAACAAATGCCACAAAAAGAACATTTCAGCAGATTGAGGTTGTATACAATTTGAAGCAATGGATTTCACTGATAATGAGGATGAAATTAGGCCATAACAATGAGGCAGCTAAACGTATTATAAAAACAAACTGATTGATTTTATCAAAAAAAAGCTACCGGTACTTGATCATACATGTATATTTTATTATGCACAATGTTGAATTGTCTACAAATGGCTATGTTGCATTTTGGAAAGCAAGTCTTTGACTTCAACACCTATACATACAAACACAGGGGCCCCACTACACAATAAAACTCCAAGAAAAAGCATGAAATTAAACATGCACAACTCAACTCACAAAACCCCAACAGCGGACCCTCAGAGAACATCCCGTCCCGGCCGTCGTCAATACCTGCAAGTACACTCGGACACAAGAGACAGGAAGAAAAAAAAAAAAACTGCAAAAAAAAAAAAAAAACTGCAAAAAAAAAAAGCCAGGGTAGTCTGTGCAAAATGAACTTGATTTCAACATCAAATCAAAGGGATTTCCCTCAAAACGCCATAACCCATCTTATGTGCATTTTGGAAAGCAAGTCCTCAACAGTATTTGCTTTTCTGCTGCATGATTACAAAATCAACTCACAAAACCCCAACAGCGGACCCTCAGAGAACATCCCGTCCCGGCCGTCGTCAATACCTGCAAGTACACTCGGACAAGAGACAGGGAAGAAAGAAAAAAGACTGCAAAAGAAAAAAAGAGAGGGTTAGTCTGTGCACTAATGAACTTGATTTCAACATCAAATCAAAGAGTTTCCCTCCAAAACGCCATAACGCCATTCTTCGTCACTTTTTGGCAAGAATTTTCCTCGAGAGTCAGCTTTTCTGCTGTGATTTACTCTCTGGAGTCTTAAGACTCTAGACATTTGGCACCAGTATTCCAAATGGCTATGTTGCATTTTGGAAAGCAAGTCTTTGACTTCAACACCTATACATACAAACACAGGGGCCCCACTACACAATAAAACTCCAAGAAAAAGCATGAAATTAAACATGCACAACTCAACTCACAAAACCCCAACAGCGGACCCTCAGAGAACATCCCGTCCCGGCCGTCGTCAATACCTGCAAGTACACTCGGACAAGAGACAGGGAAGAAAGAAAAAAAGACTGCAAAAGAAAAAAAGAGAGGGTTAGTCTGTGCACTAATGAACTTGATTTCAACATCAAATCAAAGAGTTTCCCTCCAAAACGCCATAACGCCATTCTTCGTCACTTTTTGGAAGAATTTTCCTCGAGAGTCAGCTTTTCTGCTGTGATTTACTCTCTGGAGTCTTAAGACTCTAGACATTTGGCACCAGTATTCCAAATGGCTATGTTGCATTTTGGAAAGCAAGTCTTTGACTTCAACACCTATACATACAAACACAGGGGCCCCACTACACAATCAAACTCCAAGAAAAAGCATGAAATTAAACATGCACAACTCAACTCACAAAACCCCAACAGCGGACCCTCAGAGAACATCCCGTCCCGGCCGTCGTCAATACCTGCAAGTACACTCGGACAAGAGACAGGGAAGAAAGAAAAAAGACTGCAAAAGAAAAAAGAGAGGGTTAGTCTGTGCACTAATGAACTTGATTTCAACATCAAATCAAAGAGTTTCCCTCCATAACGCCATTCTTCGTCACTTTTTGGAAGAATTTTCCTCGAGAGTCAGCTTTTCTGCTGTGATTTACTCTCTGGAGTCTTAAGACTCTAGACATTTGGCACCAGTATTCCAAATGGCTATGTTGCATTTTGGAAAGCAAGTCTTTGACTTCAACACCTATACATACAAACACAGGGGCCCCACTACACAATAAAACTCCAGAAAAAGCATGAAATTAAACATGCACAACTCAACTCACAAACCCCAACAGCGGACCCTCAGAGAACATCCCGTCCCGGCCGTCGTCAATACCTGCAAGTACACTCGGACAAGAGACAGGGAAGAAAGAAAAAAAACTGCAAAAGAAAAAAAGAGAGGGTTAGTCTGTGCACTAATGAACTTGATTTCAACATCAAATCAAAGAGTTTCCCTCCAAAACGCCATAACGCCATTCTTCGTCACTTTTTGGGAAGAATTTTCCTCGAGAGTCAGCTTTTCTGCTGTGATTTACTCTCTGGAGTCTTAAGACTCTAGACATTTGGCACCAGTATTCCAAATGGCTATGTTGCATTTTGGAAAGCAAGTCTTTGACTTCAACACCTATACATACAAACACAGGGGCCCCACTACACAATCAAACTCCAAGAAAAAGCATGAAATTAAACATGCACAACTCAACTCACAAAACCCCAACAGCGGACCCTCAGAGAACATCCCGTCCCGGCCGTCGTCAATACCTGCAAGTACACTCGGACAAGAGACAGGGAAGAAAGAAAAAAGACTGCAAAAAAAAAAAGAGAGGGTTAGTCTGTGCACTAATGAACTTGATTTCAACATCAAATCAAAGAGTTTCCCTCCAAAACGCCATAACGCCATTCTTCGTCACTTTTTGGCAAGAATTTTCCTCGAGAGTCAGCTTTTCTGCTGTGATTTACTCTCTGGAGTCTTAAGACTCTAGACATTTGGCACCAGTATTCCAAATGGCTATGTTGCATTTTGGAAAGCAAGTCTTTGACTTCAACACCTATACATACAAACACAGGGGCCCCACTACACAATCAAACTCCAAGAAAAAGCATGAAATTAAACATGCACAACTCAACTCACAAAACCCCAACAGCGGACCCTCAGAGAACATCCCGTCCCGGCCGTCGTCAATACCTGCAAGTACACTCGGACAAGAGACAGGGAAGAAAGAAAAAAGACTGCAAAAGAAAAAAAGAGAGGGTTAGTCTGTGCACTAATGAACTTGATTTCAACATCAAATCAAAGAGTTTCCCTCCAAAACGCCATAACGCCATTCTTCGTCACTTTTTGGCAAGAATTTTCCTCGAGAGTCAGCTTTTCTGCTGTGATTTACTCTCTGGAGTCTTAAGACTCTAGACATTTGGCACCAGTATTCCAAATGGCTATGTTGCATTTTGGAAAGCAAGTCTTTGACTTCAACACCTATACATACAAACACAGGGGCCCCACTACACAATCAAACTCCAAGAAAAAGCATGAAATTAAACATGCACAACTCAACTCACAAAACCCCAACAGCGGACCCTCAGAGAACATCCCGTCCCGGCCGTCGTCAATACCTGCAAGTACACTCGGACAAGAGACAGGGAAGAAAGAAAAAAGACTGCAAAAGAAAAAAAGAGAGGGTTAGTCTGTGCACTAATGA